TATCTACCAGAAAAAGGAAAAGAATCTCAATCTCTTGCTCCAACAGGATAAACCCTTGACCAGAACAAATCCTTAAATGTCTGCCTTTTCGTCTTTTCATTATTCCAGGTGCATACAGTAGCTTCAAGGCAAGCAAGCACTTCCTGCTTCCATGAACGCTCTTGTTTACTAGCAGAGCAGTCAGTGACTTCAGCAACAAGCCTATAACCCTGGCAAAAATGCAATTACACTTTTACATAACAAACACTACTGAGCAGCATGCAAATGCCTCAACATGATTATTAACCAGCATAGATTAAGCCACCCTGCAATGCTCCAGCACTCAGACCAAGCCTCCACCTCTATTTCAACACAGGCTTCAGCTCTGATGAAATCGACAATTCGAACCCTTCACAGTCACTACGTATTTGACTTTTCATCCCTTAAGAAAAGGTCTTTCTTAGCTATCTCCCTTTTTCTTCTTTACAAAATCCACACCATCCCCTCATCTTGTAATTCTGACTCACTGTCCCTTATTACTTTACAATGTTGTGGTTCTGTGTCAACCAGATTAGTAGCTTTAAAGCACAACTTACACTTGAATTTTTGAGTGAATAGCCTGCACTTTAAATAAACATCACTGAGTTTTATAAAAACTGACTTGCTTAGGACTCAGCCAAACATTTAGGTATGAAAGGGCAGTTCATACAGAGGGCAGATCGCCAGCAAGCCCACAAAAATCTATTTAACCTACATGTGTTAATACTAACTAAACAAGCAGTTCTAAAACAATTTAGGTGGAAATATATACATATTTCCTGCATATGGCTAAAATTAAAGACTTGGTCTTGAAGCCATCTATTTGGCGGGGAGCAGTATGATTCCCTGTTCCAAGCTGTGGCGGGGAAGGGCTGCCAGGAGTGAGCACTGGGACTTGGGTAAGTTCAATATCCCATACCATACCAAGGGGCTTTACAGGTCAGAACCTACAGCAAGGAGACATCATCAGGCCTCTCCAGCCCAAGTAAACACCACTAGGAAATGTTGAGGGGATAAAAAGTTACTTCCACTCACCATCACTCAAACTCTGTAAGGACAACAAAAGTGCTTCAGGGAAAGCCTGCTGTGTCTTCACTGAAGTAAAGTACCCAGCGAGGCTTTGCAAAGCATTTCCTCTGGGCTCTGAGGCCTGGTGGTCTTATGAGAGAAGAAAATACCAAGCCAAGTCCCAAGTGATAATGGTCTCTGTAGGACGACACTCTTTCTCTTAGCTGGCTTGCTTTTAGGGGGATAAGGAAAAAAGCAACTGAGAATAGAAAACAGCCATGACTGTTTTGTGTCTTGATTTCTTCCCACCCCTACCTCCAAACTATCACCATTTGCAACTGAGCGACTTGAAAAGGTAGTGAAGATTCAAAAGCAGGAGTAAATTAAAAAAGAAAGAGAAAAGGAGAAAAACTCGAGTTACCAGCAAAGGAAAAAGAGGACAAATTAGGAGTTAAGTTGTGGAAAGTGAGGGACAGAGAAGTACATGTAACAGATGAGCACAAGTATCACAAGACTATTTTGCAGCACTAGGCTTTTATTTCCAGGGTTAACAAGAACCCCAAGAAAAAGTCATTTTGACAGTTACAGTGTCCTGAATGTTACAGTTACAGGGGTCCTGAGAACTAGCCACCCAGTTCTCTATTTCTTGTGGGTCACTAAACCATCTGTGAATATGATGAAAGTCGTACATCTTACCCCACTAAAAAAAAAAAAAAAACATACCCAGACACATTACTTCACGGATGCTGAAATACCCACACAATTTCAAGGCTTCCCAGACACACCAAAGCTGATCCAGAGATCTGTATCCAAGACTAGTATCTCAGTTTCCAGATGGACAAACAGAATGAGAGTCACTTGCTCAAGGGCACATTAATTGATGTGAGCGCTCAGGGGGGAAGTCAGGCTCCAGCCTACAGCACACACCCTGTTATGGAGTCAGCCCTCTGCGTCTCAGCGGCCACCTGTCTGCATCCTGAAGCTATACTCCAGTGCTTAGAGATGGCCGGGTGGTGCTGACAAAACTGCCACTGACATACCTCCCTTCACAAGCCGGAGTGTGTGGGCATCTAACTGAGGCTCCCCACAGCAGCCTAGGGCAGCCCTGGGTAACCTATGGTCCTGTGCTTTTTCAACAGACATTAGCCACAGGAAACATCATTTTTGAGCTAGAAACTTGAGTACACCCTACACAGTAAGCCCAAGCTGTTTAAAGTTGTTTGTGGATCTTCTTTAAACCTACAACATAATTTCTGCTATCTTCTTCTATCCTGCCCATTCAAACCTACCTCCTCCCATCCCAAACAAAACTACACTAGCCAAATTAGTAAATTTGGTTCATTTTGACAGCTCCCAAGTTTATCCCTATCTTTTAAAGTTTAGTCCTCAAAACTATTTTCACCTTTTGTAAGGGAGCACCAACATATTCTCACTTGCAAAATCAAGTTATTTTCCTTTGAATATTGTTTATATTTTTAAAATTTTAACCCTTATTATTCACATTCTGACAACTGCTGATAAATTGATAAAAATCAATTTCTTTACTCTCTAAACCTGTCACAACTAAAATCTTCTTCTACCTGTTCCATCCTGTCAACATCTTCCTGACCTAATTTACCAACGACTCCCTTCTTCAGATAAGACTCTCAGGATATGTTTGTCTCTTATTACACATAAGACAGAGATCCTTGCAACTGATCAGAAAACTTAGCAACCTCTTCTTTTATAAAATTTTTACAAATCAGAATCAACTTCTCCTTCTATATCTAACTACTGACAATACGCAGAAAAAACTCCATCTTTGCTTAGGCTACTATTCCTCTGTTCTTCCCTCTTTTCCTTCTTCCCTCCCTCCATCCACCCACCACCTCATTCAATTGTGACTGTCCATTAAGACCTAGATGGTGGCAGTCTTTCTTTTCCTGAAGCTTACAATCTCCAAAGTGGACAGATTCTATGACCAGTTGCTAACACCTTCACCTATTTTAATTCACTTTAATTTAAATTAACCTTCACTGCCTCACTAAAAATATCTTTCTCCTATTTAAAATTCCTCAGTATCTGCAATTACCTTATGTGGTCAAAGGCTACTCTGCCATTTCAGATTTCTAATTTCTTTTTTAAGTTTCCGCTAAAGCTACTGCTGATATTCAAGTAATTAAATATGCCACTTATTTTGATAACACATCTCACAACACTGCCTTCTGTATTTAATACCTAAGACAGCCTTCTTTTGCCTAAGGAAATACCACACAAATCTGTTCAAAAAAAAATAAAAAAGCAAACATACAACAGATCTGAGAGGGTTTCAGAATCAGAATCACCCTTCATTTTCAGTTCAACTTCATTTTCCAGCCAAGGAAAGTGAGGACTGAAGAGGTAAGCTGATTTGTCCAGAGTCAGAAAGTCATCAAGTATCAAGGATCCAAGTCTTCAACTCCAGTTTAAATCCAATTTCATTTCACTTTATTACTTGACTGTACTGAAATTTAGTTTTGTCTTTTTTTCTAGACTATATTAGTATTTTTTTAAACTAAAGATAGTGTATTTCCAGGCACACAGTCATGTACAGTAACATATACACAAAAGCCATATTCTTTCTCAAAGAGGACATTACAATCACAGCAATCACACATTTTAAAAATGGATGGAGTCTTTGAGATCATTAAACAAGTAACTGTCAAAATGAATGCGAAAAATTACAAGCACTGGTTTTTCAATCTCTAGGACAACACACACAGTATGGGCCCTCCCCACCCTACCTTTTCACCTCACCCATAAAAATCATGATCTCACGGAGTCATTATTTTATCTTTCAAGGTAGGAGGATGAAAAAAAAAAAAAAGTGAATGAGAACCAGTAACCAACACCTCCACCTGACAAGTGAGAGATCTCCAGTTTGCCAGCAAATTCATAACAACTCCGGGGCAAAAACCAAGGGTTCTTGTCTTTCACACTGGCGTGTATTTTATATTGTGGGTATAGATTTATATAACAAAGTCTTCTGGACAACATTTCCCACTACACAGGAACCTTCCTCCCCAATGGCCCTTGGCAGGCTATTGATGTGTAGAAAGAAACACGACAGACATCTAGATTCACTTAACTCCTGGCTTTTCAGGATGCAGAAAAACTCCTGGAAGGGGGATTGAGAATCTGCGGTTAAGAACTAGGGAGGGCATCAGTGGCCTTCACACATTCGTTTGACAGAGAAGCAAACTATGGCACAGAGAGGGTAAAGAACCTGGGCAAGGTCACACAGTGAGTACAGGAGGTAAGACTAGAACTCCGGGCTCCTGATGGCAGGAGAGCTGCCCCTCTGCGTCCTGCTCAGGGGCAGCCCCACAGCACGTTGATTACAGGCCTTCCTCAATTTCCTGGCGTAAACACTTATTTAACACTAAAACGTGGGATTCGTGAAGCCCAGAATGGGATGGAGCCCGGAAGTTTTCCTGGTTAAATCCCCGAATTTTTGCGGAGGAAATCGAGGTCCAGAAAAGGTTCTGTGTGCCGGAATCTTTGGCCAGATTTAGCCTAAGGTGGCAAACCCGCAACCGGGGCCTAGAAGGCCAAGAACTACAAATCCAAAAACCCCTCTGGAGCTCTAGGCCCGAAGGGGACCCGCAATCCAGCGGTGGGGAGTCCCAAATCCACCGTCCGCCGCCTCCTCCCCAGTCGCACGCACCCCGGGCTAAGCGGCCCGCCTCCAATCCCCAGGCCCACTCGGTCGCTGCCTCACCTACGCCGGCCCACCGTCTGTTATTGTGGTTGAGAGGGCGGGAGAAACACAAGACACTTCCCGCGGACCCCCCCGCCGGTCCGCTTCCGCCTCCGCCGCTGCAGGGGCACTTCCGGGGTATTGCCTTCCGGGGCGGGGCTAGCACTGTGTGTCCCTATTGGGTGTGGCGGAGAGTGCGCGCATGGTAGCCATCTTAAGTGTGGCATACGGCACAGCCTGGGGGCTGGTCTTTTACCTGAGGAGTCGGCGCGCCGGAAATCCTGATTAGGACGCCTGGGAAGAGTCGCGACTCGGAGGTGTGTCCTTCGCTGTACGGTGTTAGAAACATTTGGATGTTGCTTTTGTCATTTGCAGGAAGGTTGAGTAATAGTAGAAGTTTTTCCAGAGTTCTTTCTGCTAAAAACGGAAAACGTGTGCTTGTTGTGCATGGGGGCGTTCTGTTTTCAGTCATGATGTTAAGTCACCCCTTCTTGTGGAGCATCATCTCTGCATGCAAATAACAGTGTTTTAGTTTCCCAAGAGCTTTTGCACCAGTGTCATTAAAATCTCCCACTCTGAAATAGGAGCAGAAATCAACTTAGTGTTTTTTGTTTTTTTTTTTTAAGATTTATTTATTCATCCAGAACTGGGGTATAGGACAGAGATGCGGAGGGTGAGAGGATTCATCAGAGACAGAGTGGGAGCAGAACAGGCAGATCGACGAAGTACACTGAGGGGAGCAGCGGGCGGGTCAGGAGAGGTGTGCCACGCCATGTGGCGCTCCTCTGGGGCAGTCGGGAATCGAACTCATGCGGAAGTGGCATAAGCTTCTTAGTGCAGTGCTTTAACCCGCTGCGCCACCAGAGACGGCCCTTAGTTGTTTTTTTTAAAGGATAAAAAATATCCTCAGAGAGGCTGATTGACTTAATCCCTGACACAGGGCGACTGAAAGGTTTTTATCTTCGATTTTGCGTTTTATTTCTCTGACATGTAGTAAAGATCGCCCAAAATACCTGGATTAAAATCAATACAAATAACCCTTAGGAATGTTAATGTGCATTCAAACTAGGTGAGACACTACTTGACAAGAAAGAGGAGCGACTTGATTCTTCTGGAGAAAGGACTAAAGGTGGTGTAAAATCCACTGTTTTGACTTTTCCTTCTTTCCCTATTATGGTTTGTTGCCAAACGTTTCAATCTGTTTTAAGTAGTTACAGTTCTAGCTCTCCCATAAGTAAAACCATGTTACTTGATTTGGGGTTTGGTAAAGAAAAACCAGCAGCAAACGTTCATCATATTGATGTATTTATTCATCTTACATCCAGCTTTCACGGCTCATTCTTCCTGTAAGTGAAGATAATATAGAATCCCCATGATTCCATATCTTGTATGTGTGACCTTAAATTATTCAATCACAAATCCTTGTTTTGTTTCTATTACCTAGATTGTTCTAAAGGACAAATAGGAACTGTATATGAAAGTGTCTAGCACTAAGCCTGGCACAAATAGAAGACATTCAATAAGATTTGTTTCAGTGCAATTTGGTTGAATCTTTAATTGAATATATATAGTTTTTCATTTGCTTACCATTCCTCCTTTTGTAAGAAGCCCTATGGTGGGTTTAAATACAAATAAGATATATTTGGTATCTCAGTGTCTGAAGGGAAGCAAAGTATATCTACAAACTAGAGTGAATTCTAAGTAGACTTTCTGAATTCTATGATTGCCTGCTATGAATAATTAGACATCAAAACTAGTTTGACCTTAAAACTTGAGACACAGTATGTAATGTGTGTCCCTTCACCTCTGAGAAATTTTTTGTTCCTAGATGATACAGGTTTTCATTAGTGTTCCACACTGTCACCAGTGCACTGTCATTCAATGGAGGGAAATTCGCCCTCCATTGAATGACCTCAGATCATTGTGGTGTTTTTGAATTCTTACCCCCCACTTTTTAATGTTTTAAATATCTTCTCATAGATATTTAAATATTCCCATAGATATCAAATATTCCCATAGATTCCAACAAAGATCTCTGATCTCCCTTGGAACTGTTTTAGCTCTTAGATAACAGTTACTTCCGTTATTAGAAGGTCAAGCATTTAAGAGCTCTAGCTGACTGTATGGGTCAGGATTTACTCTGAGTGGGTTATGGCTGTGGCCTCTGTGCAGTATTCACCTGAAAGAGGCACATTGGGATCACCCATTGCCCTTGGGCTTGAGTAATGTGGCAGAACTCAGCTATGAATTTAAATGTAGGGTCTTTTGAGAAATATCCTATTACTATTCTAGCTGAGAAACTGTATTTAGTGGTCAGCAATGCAGACTTTAGAAACAAAGATCAAGTTCAAGTATGAGTGCCTTTGTTTCCTGGCAGAGAAACCATAGGCAAATGCTTCAGTTATAACTTTTAGTATTGTCAAGTACAAACAGTACAGTCTTGAGGCTGCACAGGAACAATTCTTCACATGATTTTTTTTTAAATTGTGATAAATTACATAATACAAAACTTTGTTTAAACCATTTTTTAGTGTCCAGTTAGTGACCTCAAGTACCTTTACATTGTTGTGCAACTACACCCACATCCCACTTCAGACCTTTTTCATCTTGCAAAATTAATATTCTGTTCCTTTCTCTCATCAAACAACTTCCATTCTGCCCTCCTTGACCCTTTGCAACCACCATCCTACCTTCTGTGTCTAGGTACCTCAGATGAGTGAAATCATGCAACATTTGTCCTCTTGTATTTGGCTTCTTTCACTTAGTACATCTAAATGTTTTATCCATTTCACCCTCCTTGTAGCACATGTCAGAATCCCTTCCTTGCTAAGGCTTAATAACATCCCACTGAAATATATGCCACATTTTTATTTGTCCATTGATGAACTTTCACAATGCTTCCACTTCTTGGTTATTGAACAATGCTTCAATGAACATGAGTGCAGATATCATTCAGATTTGATTTTTCTTTCTTTTTTCTTTCTTTTTTTTTTTTTTTTGGAAATATACCCACAGTTGGAATTGCTAAGTCTTACAGTAATTCTGTTTAATTTTTTCCCATAGCAATTAAACCATTTTATCTTCTTACCGACAGCTCACAGGATTCCAATTTTCCACATTCTTACTCAGATTTTTGTTGAGAGTTAGTAGTCAAGTTAGAATGGTATCCTCGAAGGTTAGTTATTGCTTGAGTGTTCTGAGGCCCTATTTCCTTCTCAGCTATAGTTGTGTTTGCAAGGGCTGAATTCTTAGGATATTTCTAAAGTTCATTTTCAAAACATTCTAAATCATCTGAAGTGCTGAATGAAAAATTATAGACTGAAGAATTGTTGAACAAGGAAATCCTATGAAAGGATATTGTATGTAAGTGTTTGCAGAAAATTGTGGTTTTGAAACCAAATACAAAGTGGTAGATTTAGAAAATAAAACAAAACAAAACAAAAAAACCTGCATGGGAAGTTTTAATAAACTTGAGCCTTTGAACAAGTATTCAGCAGCAAGGCCTTTGCATTTCATTTTTAATTTGGACCTTACTGAATAAAATTAAGTTTATGTGATAAGAAGGAGAAATGATTAGGGAAGAAATTTAGGAAACTCAACAAGTTTTCTTAATAATTAATCTTACTGTGTTTTCCCTGTCCAGGTTTTATAGCTGGATCTTTAGAAGTATGCCAGTAAAGAAGCTACTCTAGAAATAAAAATAGTTTGAATTGCCAGGAAGTATGTCTATTTATTATCAGCCAACATTTATTAAAAAGTCTGTATGATACCTGGAAAATTTTAGGAACAAAGATTGGAAATCTTAGGGTAACAATGTCTGCTCTCAGGAAGGTGGGTAGACGTCCTGTACAAAGAACATACCAGTGAAATCTAGAGAGTCCTGTGCAGTGAGATGCTGGAATGCCTGGACATCATGGAGGCATTGAAGTGTCAGGCTCACTCAGAATAGTCACAAACATCCTTTTTAAGTCACTTGCTCCATCCATGCATGATTTTTCTCTGTCGCTACTAAATTGTGTCTCTAGCCACTTACTCTCAAATTCTATTCTTAGTATATTTGTTTTGTTTTTGCTATCTTAGTTACAATACCACTCTATCAATCATTGGAAAATCATCATCACATTTAAGCCCTCTGAACATTCTAAGGTTAAGTATGGCTGGTTACATTTTATAAGTAATGCGACTCAGTTTCAGAGAGGTTAAGTGTTTGCCAAAGGTCACCCAGCTAATAAATTGCAGTCATTGTAAATTTAAGCTTTCTGACTTCTATGCCTAATGGTGAACTTAAACACTTTTTAAAGTTTTCTTCCAAGTGGCAACCTAATTTATCTACTTCAGGCATGGTGTGGATTGTGTCAGTCCTATGCTCAGAACTTTGAATAACTTTTTTGCTTAAACTTTAGGCCTTAAAATATAGGTTTAAAACTGGTAAAGCAGAATCCCAAAGCCCAGCAGCCCTCATTGTTAGCCCAGCTTGACAGTCTTATTCCTCTTCATAAACAGCATAACCACCTGCGCAGAGAACCAACTGTTTCCATCACACACCTAAAACTATCCTGCCTTACCCTAAGTAAACAAGTCCCTCCCCGCTCAAACCTTGCCTGCTCCCCCTACTGGTGAAAAGTGGATCAGTCTCATTCAGGTATTAAGGAAAGAAAAGGCAGATGTTGCTGAGCTGGTCCATCTTGGTGAGCCCAAATCTGGGACAGAAATGATCGTTCTTAAGTTCCAGGGGAATGGGAGGGTGTTTGGATAGCTGCAGTTTTTTAAATATGGCTGCACTTTTAGCTTAAATATTTCCTGAATGCATGCTCTGTGAGTGGGTATTGGAGTAAAGTGCAAGGAAACAATGATGAGATATAAACATATTTCTACCGTCAGTTTTGCAAGGGAGGCTAATGGTGAAATGCGAGACAGGTGAATCAATTTCTTTAAAATGTACAGATCGGGTGGCAGGGTCGGGGGACAGTAGGCACATTGTTAAGGTTTGTTGAATGAAGGAATTAATGAATGAATGGATAAATCTTATATACTTGTTTTCCTTTTAAACTCTTCAATTATTTAACAAAACCTTCTAAAATAAATAAATCTTATAGCTATTCAATTAAACATAAATATGGTAAATGTTAACTTCTCCAGATGCTCATAATAGTCTTAATAAAATTCAGATCCTTTCAATTGAAAAATCTAACTTTAAATCGCTATTCAATTAAACATTTCAAACTGAAATGATAAGACATCCATCATATTCTTATTAAGCTGTATTTTCTTAAATTATGACATAGTTGAAATGAAAACTATAGACTCAAATGAATTAAATAGATGTGATTTAATCATTCCTGTGCTTCAATATAATCTTTAGGGCTTGTTAAACAATCACTTAAAACTCACTCTGTCACCCATATCTGCAGGCTGCAGCTGCATATTGATTGAAGGGTGTTTGGCTGGGCCCCAGGATTCCCTCTTTAACAGTCTTCCCCCTTTTACTTTTGGTGTATGGGCTGCAAGGAACAGGATGGGAGTGGCATGATAAACCTTCTTATGCAGCTGGAGTGCATGTGAGAGATGCTAAATCCAGCACTTAGGAAAGTCAGAGAGTAGCAGAGGGTAGTTGCTGGTTTTGTTTGAATCCATAGATACTCTCATGCCTGAAGTTAAGACGCCCTGCATCCTCCTAGTCACACAGACTCACTCATTCTTGTTTGGCCTAAATTAAGTTTCACTTGGAAACTGAGTGTTTGTATGCTGTGTTAGCCATTATCCTCCTCTATTGTCCCAAACCTTCAGAAAACAGAGATTTCACTGGGTTTTTTAGGTGCAGGAGCCATCGAAATGTGTTCCTCCTTGTCCTAGCTGCTTTCAGAATACCTTGTATCAGTCACTTTGATTTGGGCTTTCTTTTGGGTGTTACCCGCCAAGGTCAGCCTGCTATAGGTGGCTGCTCACCTAGTTCGCTCTGAGGCAATCTGGGGTAAGTGCTGTAATGCAGGCAGGCAGGTGTTTGTTTGGAGAGACCTGTTGGGATGGTGCAGGACCTGGCCATAGAACTCACCATCCTGGATCCCGATAGGGGTTTCATCTTAGAAGGACTGGGAGAGCAGTGAGATGGCCACGGTGTGGTTACAGGTGTAGGGAATGAAATAGGATTGCGAAGAGGCTCCATCTCCAGAACTACGTGTTTTCTTTGATCTCAACAAATAAAAAAAGGTGAAGGAGGAATGCACATAGGCCCTGTCTTTCAGGCCAAATCTTACTGGCAAGGCATGACTAGATTGCTAGGTTGAGAAAGAATTTGAGGTCATATCCAGCTCATTACAGGTAGTGTCATTGATTACTAGTGTCTGGATGGGCCTGGAGAGAAATAGAGGTGATGTGATTCTTACAGATTGCCTCAGAGCGAACTAGGTGACATGCTGCTTATTTTTTTGTGGAAGGTAATTGGAATCTAGCATACCCAAGACTGATGCTTTGCCCAATTGTCAGTCTTCCTGAAAATGTGAAATAATTTCTCCCAGCACCTCTCTGTAGTGGGGTTTCTGACATTGTTTTCCTATGTAAGGAAACCCTTTCTAAACTTTCTTTCCAAACTATATCTAACTCTGAAAGGTTCTCTGCCTGTTCTTTTCCTTACACATTTATTACCCTCCTCCTAAAAACTCTATAATCTTGCCTTACTAATCAGATCCATGTGCCGTTAGTATGGAACTCTGTGAGCATGAATTAAATCTGTCTTTTGCCAATAATCTCCTTGTGTTGCTTTATGATTGTGCCAGCCAACAGAACCAGAGGCACGATACTTCTCAAGAAGAGTACTGTTGGCATTTTGGTTGGGTCCATTCTTCCTTGTGTAGGACCATCCTGTACATTGCAGGCCTTTAGCCCACTGAATGTTGGGGGGCGGCCTACCCCAGTCCCTGTGACAAAAATCCCCCCTCCCCAAGTCTTTCACTTGTCTCTTATGAGTATAACTCTGCAAGATCTACTTGAAAAATTAGGTTTGACCAAGAATGATTTGACTTGAATTTTCTAGAGGCTTGAACAAGCATTGCTTATGTTTGTTAAGACTAAGGGAGAAAAATACACATTTCTTTCTTTTATTTTCTTTTAGATCTTGAGTTGTAACTGAGCTTGTCATCTGCAGGGGAGAGGAACTGAGAATGGGGCTGGGAATGAAGAGTCTCCTGCAAAGGTAAGACAACATTTATGGGGACAGGGAATTAGCTTGGACCCAAGAACAGGGGATTTAATGCCATCCCTGGTTGAAAAAGGTAGGAGACTCAGCTGTTGAGGGAAGGGTGTTCTGTGAAATCTCATTGTTACTAAAGGGACTGTCCTCCCATCTTAGAGTCGCCTTGTCTTTTGGTGTTTCTTTTGTCAAAGCATTGTCTTTAATGCTACTTCTGAGAGCCCTGCCCTTTGCTCTGTATGTCTGAATTTACTGAATAACATCAGCTACCTTATATGAAATTTTTTGAGCAATGTACCATATGCGACAAGGAGTGAATAAGTGAATGAATGTAACATATTCTACCCCTAATTTAAGAATTCAAGTACCACCTATTTAAGATCCTTCATATATCTGTCAAGTACCCTATGAGAAGTGAGAAAAAGAGGGGTTGAGTAATAGTCTGATAATATTGTTGCCATTTTCAAGTTTTGCATTGTTCATTGCACCCCAGCCAAGACCACAGAAACGCTTTGGTTGGACAATTTGGGTTTATTATTCATTGCAGAAAGAGGGGATGCCTGCTGGGGAAGTCTTAGGGCACCACAGTGGAAAGATACTACAAAGAATTTATCTGAGGATTTGGATTCCTGAGGTTGATTTGGGGAAGATGTAAAGGGACTTTGCTCTGGATTGAATGCCCTCAGGATGTTGAAGTCTCTCAGCTATTTGGTGTCTAAAAAGGTCTTACTTAGAAAGAAGGAGTCCTATATATTCTATGTTTTCTCCTATTCAAATGTTAAATTTATAAAGTAGGCACAATAAGAGATTAACAATAGAAATAATAATAAAGAACAATTATAACTATGGAAAAATAAACATTATGTGGTTGTGTCACCTGTCTCAAAATAGCACAGTGTTTTTGTACCAAAGCTAAGTCAAACTGCAGAAAGTGAAACCATGGATGAGGGAGGCTGCTGTATGAGAGACCTTGCCTGAGTTCAGCCTCATATTCCACTGAGCTTTCTCAAAACAGCATTATTCTCTCAAGGCTTCCAAAACTCAGAGAAAGCAAGCAGAAACACACTACCAAGGACAGGGACACAAGGGATCTCCAGTTGCAAGGGTCTCGGTCACAGGTCAACTCATGGTATCATCATTTTGATGACCTCTTTCAGCAGCTAGATTGAAGATGTTTGGTACTTTGTGGTTTTGCCTGTTTGAAGCGTGATTGTGGTGTAGTCTTGTCTTCATGGTGATTCATCATGGTGGCCGCGTGCCTTTGATGGCTGATGTTCCGTGAAATCGTTCTTGTTGGATAGGATATCATGGCTTAGGGTGAGCGGGAGTCCAACCTGCCGCAGTGCCTAGTCTGCTCCCCGATATTGTAGCCTGTTTTTCTCTCATTTCAACATATGTTAAATAATCACTTGTTTTCTCATTTCCTGATTGTAAACTATATTTGAGCATTGACCTGCCATGATTATCACTAAGAAGCCAGAGTCTACCCAAGTCTTTTGGTCTTCACACTTCAGCACTGAACACTTAAAGCATATTGACTGAATATAGGAATGAACCATCCAAAGGAGACTGTGACTTGCTTAAAGACAAGAGTCACTTTCTTTTTGGTGATGTAGTCCTATCGCATGTCATTAAATTGAACTGACTTCAAGAGAAGTTTTCCATAGCATAAAGTTTATTGATTTTTTTTAATAAGGTAATATAATGAATTCTACTTCCTGAAGGAATGATGACGCTTAATTCAAATGACTTCTCTCATGAAGAACAAAAGGGAAACCATGTCACAATCAGCACTTTCCTTTATGATGAATTGAAAGATTGAATTCCAAAGCTCTATGAAAAATTGATGGACACATTTAGTGATTATTTGTATGAAAGATGATCCTTCTCCCTCTTAGAATAGTGGTGCTACAAAGGAGCTTCACCGGAGGAGAGGCCTTGTTTTATAGACTCCTGACTTATAAGTAGCCCACAGCTACTCAGGTTTCTCTCTCCCCCAACTGTTCCATCCACCCTGGGGAGTCCCTTACTTTGTAGGTACATTGAAAAATTACTTAAACCTCTTGGCAAATATGTAAGCCTGTATGTTAAAGAAGAAAGGGAAAACAATGACTTCCTGAGAATATCTTTTAACTTTTCTGCCATTACTGTGTCAATCCTCCAAGAACCTACTTACCAGTCTTTCATTTAGCAAGTACTTATCATCCTCAGTTGGTATCCAAAATTGTTAAATGCTAGGAATAAATCACACACTGCCTTTTGACTTCCTGGGGCTTATGTTTGGTGACAGGACAGTAATCATGAAATAGAAAAATAAAATATCTGCAAGGTACTTTTATAAGAATTAAGAAGGAGACAGTAGCATCTTAACCTGAAAACTATTAGAGGTAAATCTATTTTAAGTAGCATGTACAGTGAGGGCCAGCATCTGGAAGGAGGAGATCTATAAGCTGAAACACATAGGAAAATACCAGCCCTGTGAAAAGCATGGAAAAAATGTTTTTGTGGGAGAGCACAGTTTGCTCACAGGTCCTGAAACCGAGAAGAAATATGTGTATTGGAAATTATTGGGAAGAAGAGTCAGTGTGGTCAAAGTATAGTACAAGTAAAGCAATAAATTTAGGTGAGACTTGGGTTTTAGAGACATCCCAGAGCATTTTACCAGAGGGGGATAAATTGAGGCAAGGTCTTTAACTTGAGCACTGAGTCTCATTGCTTTAGTATTACCTTTAAAAGGATGACTTCTTTCTTACAGCTGTGATTTTCAAATATTTTAGGAACAGGACCTTTTTTCCCACAAAAATCTCATATTAAAATCGAATGTTTAAGCCCTCCCGGGTGGTGCAGCGGGTTAAAGCACAGCACAAGAAGCTAAAACCACTTCCGCATGAGTTGGATTCCCGCCTGCCCCACAGGTGACCCACATGGCGCAGCAGACCTCTCCTGACCCGCCCGCTGCTCCCCTCAGCAGTGTACTTGTCAGTCAGCCTGTTCTGCTCCCCACTCTTGTCTCTGGTGAATCCTCTTATCACCCCTGCACCTCTGGCCTGTACCCCAGCTCTGTATGTATAAATAAATAAATCTTTAAAAAAAAATTTAAAAATCTAATGTTTAAGTCAGATAATGGGAGTTTCTCTGTTGGCATTGAACTTGGGACTCAAAATCCCTAAGATCTCTGTTATACTCCCCCCACCTTGGATTCCCAGTAGAAATGAAATTCCAATGGTGATGCTTTTAATTGATACAGTTACACCTTGAGGAATTCACACATACCTCCAAAATAAAATAGAAGAGTTATCACGCAGCTACACATTAGATTCTTAGAAGAGCTTTCTGTTTTGGAGTTTATGTTTTCACTTACATTTTAGCGAAGCAGTACACACAGGAGTTAGGATATGTGATGTTATTAGAGGCACATATTGGGCTGACTCTTATGGAGCATGTGTGTTTCTCTTGTACAGACTTCCTTTGATAATACTCACATACAAATTCCTAAAGCAAAAACCCAAAGGTTAAACTTTATCCTACTGTCACCTCTTAAGGGCTTCTAATATAAACGCTTAGGTATTTCATTTTGTGGAGAGAGAGGATGAGAAAATGCCTTCTTGTAAACCACAAACATAAAAACTTCCTATTTTAAAGGAAGTCTTGGGAGTTCCCACTTTGAAAGGTAACTGAGATGATGCCTCCCAGAGTCCCTGGCTGGGGAATATAGATTGTGATTGTGAGAAGGGCGGAAGAACATTCTGGGAGGCACACAGAGGATGGTAACCACGGTCCAAGAACCAGCACCACCACAACTCGGGTAGGTGCTGAGGAATCAGTTTAGTTCATCAAAACTGGCCTTGAGTGGGCATGTGGGTAGACACTCCCTGGGTGGTCTCACTCTGGCCTTGGCTACAGTTCAGTTGTCTGGGGATGAGGAGGCTGAACTAGTGCAAGAGTTACCAGGGCCAGATTGTCACGGTCATCTTCCCATTAGTTTTGTTTCTTCATAACTACCAGAATTAGAGTATGCTGGAATTAGAAGAGCACTTTGGTGATGGGGTATTTGTCTGTAGGCAGAATGGAGAAATTTCTAGTGATGAACAGATTAGGGAAGAGCTGCCATCATTTCCTACTGCAGTGGTTAAGCTGACAAGATATTCATATATTCAGTGTATCAGGCTACAGACCTGGCTACCAAACTTCAGTGGCACACGTGGCTCAACACAGTGTTTCTCAAATTTTGGTCACTTGGTTCATGAGCTCTCGAAAAATCATGTCATTTTCTTTCAAAAAGATTTTTCATGAATGTGCTGCCTCTCAAAGCCTGACTACTCACCTTAGATTTTTCTTAAATATGAATATCCATAATTATCTTGGTTTTGAAGTTGTGATTACATTTTCTAATATGTATTAAAAGAAGCTATAACTTTTGCAATAAAAGCTTTTCATTAGCATACTAACTAAAATCATCACTAATACTATTAGAAGGTTCTCAAATCACTCTTCCAAAAAGACTGTTTTTGTCTCTTATCTCTCTATGTTTTTCCATTTAATGGTTCCACCTACTAAAGGCCAGCACAATCAGCCAGGGGCCCAGCAGGTGCCGACAGGCAGGTGGGTGAGCACAGCCTTCCCCACCCCATCTCTATGCTGCCAGGCCCTGGCACTGCAACTCCCAGCTTATGGTCAACCTGGCTTCCTAAAGGGGAGTTTCTGCAAGGGGCAAGGAAGAGAATGAAACTGAGAAAAAGAGTAGAGTCAAGGACACAGATACTTGGCTTTACTTTTCTGGCTTTACTGCTTAGGCAGGCAGGATAACTGGACTCCTGAGACACTGTGCCAGCTGCCATCTCACTGATGGATTCTGCTTGGGTGGCACATTTTGAACATCGGCTCTTCTCTCTCAGTTCTCTGGGCCCTGTGCAAATTCTTGCTGTGTGTCCTGCTGGGAAGTTTCTGGGTTATTTGTTCTTCTGGGGGCCTGCTTTTGAACCTTGGCTGTTCCCTTCTGGCTA